TCTCTCCCACGGGTTGAGGCGGCGGATGACCCCTGTAATCTTCGTGGGTAAAGGCCTGGAGACTGATTATGACCCCCTTCCCCCCTATCCTCCAACCCTCCCCCACCACCACCCAATCCCCGTCCCCCTCCGGCGCTCTTCCCCTTCCCCTTCTTCCCCCTCCATCCCCTCTTCCTCGCCTTCCCTGAACAAAAATAGACGTCAATATTGAAGGGATGCTAATATATGCAGCAATAAGCAGGAGTGCTGGCCTACTGTTTTGTGTGGTGGGTAATGAGCTGTGCTGCTGCTGCTGCTGTTGTTGTTGCTGTTGGTGGTGGTGGTGCTTTTACTATTCTCTGTAGTATTCTGCTTATTATCGCCATCGCCATTGTTAGTGTAATCATCATTAAAGGTATCATTATGATCATGTTATTATTACATTTATGATCATTATCATTGTTATTATTATTATCATTACCATTATTGTCATTATTATTATCATTGCCATTATTGTCATTATTATTATCATTACCATTATTGTCATTATTATCATCATTACCATTATTGTCATTATTAGTATTATTATTGTTAATATTGTTACTACTACTACTACTACTACTACTACTACTAAAATTGATATTATTGTTATTATTATTATTATCATCACTATTATCATTATTACTTGTTACCATCATGACCATTATCATTTCATATCATCACCAACACCATCGTCATCATCGTCATTGTTATTATCATCATTATGATTTTCATCAATAATAATGTAAATATTACTATCATTATATTCATAATCAATATCATCGCTATCGTTATCATTATGATTATTGCTATTACTATTATTATTATTATCATCAAAATGGTGATAATATTGCCATCTTAATCTTAGTTATCATCATTATCATCACCAGAATAATCATTACTGATACACTTGCTGATATTAAGTAAATAGAAATTTCCATCATTAACATTTCAGTGTCTTATTTTTTTCATACTCGTGTTTATTCGAGAAATCATATCGTGATAGCTGTCATTACTTTCATTATTCTTGCTAAACGTCATGTAATCATTATCATCAGAGTCATGATAATTGCCATAACCAGTTGTTTTGACAATTATCACCACCGTTGATAAGGCTGCTGGGATATCATTATTAATGCTAACTTTATTTCTAACTTCATCATTATTAATACGGTTATTATCAATCATTATCATGACTTCCATTGTAGATTTTGCATTAATGATAATGGTGCTACTGCTCTTGCCTCTGATGCTAATGATAATGATAATGCTGGCGATAGTGATGATGATCGTGATGATAATGGTTATCTTAATGATAATGATAACAATTAAAACAATGGTGATGATATGATATCATTTTATTTTCATCATATAGAAAATAACAATAACAGCAGTAACAATAATGATAGACGATAATACTGATAACAGTCTTAACCATAGTAATGGTAATAATAGGAATGTTCAGTACTAAGTTTATCGAAGAAAGATACTACTTCTAATAATGATTATATCATTACTGATTAATAGTACCTATTCATTCAGGCGGCCTTTCACTTTGTAAAATCAATACCCGATCTTCCATTATGCAGAAGCGATAACACTGATAAGAGCCTTCAAACGATAGCATCTCTCCGCGAACAAGGCCAAGGGGGGGCGCCCTCGCCGCTTCTCTCGCCGCGGGCTGTTTGCTCGCCCGCGTCGGCCTCGAGGACCTGGCGGCGACGCAGTCCCGGCTCCTGGGGCTGCCTGGACTGCCTCGGCGCTACCCCAGACTGCCCCTTAGATATTAATAACAATAAGAATAGCAATGATAACAGTAATTATAAAGATAATAATGCTAACAATAATGTTAACTAGAAGCCCTCAGTGGGCGTATGCCTCCGCCAAGGTAATAGGGTCACTGTTGCAATAGAAATATTCACCCTTGAAGAATTACATGAAAATCAAATCTTTCTCAAGTCCACAGGTGACGTCTGTGTTTCCCTTTCTCGCAATGCTGATGAAGCCCTTAAACAATCCTGGATCCGGATCATGATCCGGATCACCACCATTTAATGGCATTTAGGGTAGGCTAAGACACACCTTTGGTCAAGATTTAAAAATCTGTTCTTAACAATTTGAGTTATCCTGCTAACCAGCCTACAAACACAATAAATAACTAACCAACGCTGCCAAAAACATAACCTCCATGGCGGAGGAAATAATAATAATAATAACAATGATGAGTATAATAATGATCAAAATATGTGATTTTAATGATAAGAATAATGACAGTTGCCATTATCATGGTTATGAAGTAATGATCGCGAGGCCATTGACGCGCACGGCAGCAGAGAGCGGGGCCGCGCTCGCCTCCTACGGCTGGCCGGAGGGCCGCGCGGCGCCCGGGGCCGCAGGCGTCCGCCGCCGGAGGTCGGTCCCTTGCCGCCGTCGCGGGCGTCCTCCGGCGCAGCCTCGGCCGACATGGTAAATAAGTTACCGAATGCGGGGTAACACACACACACACATGCACACACAACACACATACACACATGTGTGTATATACACTTACACACACACACACATATATATATGCATACATATACACCCACATGAATATACATGTATACATATGTATATGTATATATATATCTATATATATATATACATATCTATATCTATCTATCTATCTATATATATACATATCTATATCTATCTATCTATATATACACATATCTATATCTATATCTATCTATCTATCTATCTATACACACACACACACACACACACACACACACACACACACACACACACACACACATATATATATATATATATATATATATATATATATATATATATATATATATATATATTATATATATATTATATATATATCATCATCATCATCATCATTCATCAGCCTGAGTCAATCCACTGCAGGACGTAGGCCTCTCCCATTCTTTTCCAGGTTTCCCTGTCTTGCGATGTTTGTTTCCAGTCTTGGCCCCAAATTTCGCTATTTCGTCGCGCCATCGTGTCATTGGTCTGGCTCTTGGCCTCCTTAAGTTATTTATAGTCCAGTCTGTTACTTTCTTTGTCCATCTGTCGTCTTGTCTCCGACATACATGCCCTGCCCATTGCCATTTCTTCTTTTTAATGCTCTTGAGTATATCTTCTACCTTCGTCTGTTCTCTGATCCACGTCGCCCTCTTCCGATCTCTCAGGCTAATTCCCATCATCGATCTTTCCATCCCTCTCTGGGCGCTTATTAGTTTCCTCTCCAGTAACCTGGTTGTAGTCCATGTTTCTGACCCATAGGTCATAACTGGGAGGACGCATTGATTAAAGACTTTTCTTTTTAAGCACAATGGCAACCTCTTAGTGTGCTACTGTGCCTGCCGAAGGCACTCCAACCTAGACTGATTCGTCGCTTTATTTCCTGTTCACTTGATGTGCCTGTCTGCACGAGTTGTCCTAGGTATATATACCTGTCTACTACCTCTAGTGCTTCGCCTTGTACATGTATTTGTTTGAGTGGGACTCTGCTGTTGAACATAACCTTAGTCTTTTTCTTGTTCATCTTAAGTCCGACTTTTAGGCTTTCTCTATTCAGATCGTTTATTAATTGCTGCAGTTCATCAGCTGATTCACTAAGGAGAACAATGTCGTCTGCAAATCTTAGGTTGTTTAGGTGTTCGTCTCCTATTTTGATACCCTTCCCTTCCCATTCTAGTTTCTTGAATATTTCCTCGAGGCAGGCTGTAAACAGCTTTGGTGAGATGGTGTCGCCCTGTCTAACGCCTTTTTTAATTGGTATTTTATCGGTTTCTGTGTGGAGTTTGATGGTTGCTGTCCCATCTTTGTATATATCTTCCAATATATTACAATATACCTCAACTCCCTGTTGTTGAATAGCACCTAATACTGCTGGTATTTGTACAGAGTCAAATGCCTTTTCATAATCGATGAATGCCATACACAGGGGTTTCCTATATTCGTTTACTTTTTCTCTTATTTGGGTGAGCGTGTGGATGTGATCTGTTGTTGAGAATCCGCTGCGGAAGCCTGCCTGTTCTCTAGGCTGGCTGGAATCCAGACTGTCAGAGATGCGAGCTGTAATGACTTTCGTGAATCCAAGTTTCTCGTAAGTAAACCAAAGGAGGCTTATGGGTCGTTTGTTTCATACGGAGAGTCAGATCTTGTAGAGTAATCCTTTTTATGTCGCCTTTTTTTGTTATGATAACTCATAGATAATTCTATAGGTAATATGCATTTATTATCACGGGAATCTGTTCGGCAAGATATTTTTTCACGAGCTCTGAATACGAAGGACATTTGTATAAAAAGAGCTGTGATGCTATAAGTATTTACCAATTTGTTTACGCGATGTCTCCTGCACTCTTACCTTGAATATTACGCAAGGAGATACAAATGTCATATATATCACATTAATGGTGCAGGTCTATACTCCTTTCAGCAGTTGTAGGTTTCTAATCTTACTTCTCCTCATGGCGCCTGACTTTAAAGCTGGC